GCCTTAGCCAGTTGAGCTATAGGCACTGAGCCAGTTTTTTATTGTTTCAAGTGTTAGATTTAAATCTTTTATCCAGTATGAGTCAATTTTTCTAAGTGGTGAGAGGTGTAGGTCAAACTCTTGGTCTTTGTTGATCTTATGCTGAGAAAACCCTGGAGATTCAACCACTAGAGTACTGAAAGTGATTGAGAAATACAGCCACATGTTGGGCTATAGATCGATATCTACAAATCAGGAGCCTTCCTATATGCCAACAACAGTCAAGCTGAGAATCAAATCAATGACACAGTTCTCTTCAAAGTAGCTTCAACGAAAATGAAATACTTTGGAATATACCTAAGAAAGGATGTGAGGATTTCTACAGAGAGTACTATGAAACCCTGAGAAAAGAAATAGCAAAAGACACCAAAAAAAAAAAAAAAATAGAAGAGTATACCATGTTCATGAGTGGGAAGAATCAACATTGTTAAAATGTCCATACTACTCAAAGTAAAGAATATATTTAATGCACTCCCCATAAAAACACCAATGTCATCCTTTGAAAAACTTGAAAAAACAGTTCTTTGTTTCATTTAAAACCAGAGAAAATTCCAAACAGCCCACATGATTCTCAGAAAGTAACACAAATCAGGAAGCATTATGTTCCTTGGGGGAAAAACCTGAAAATGAAGGGGAAGGAAGCAGAACTGAACAGAGGGAGAATGTCTTAGTCCATCTGAGCTATTATGATAAACTACCACAGATGGAGTGGCTTAAGCAACATACATTTAATTTAATTCTCATGATTCCGAAGACTAGAAAGTCCAAGATAATGTGCTGGAAGATTCCTTTCCTGTGAGGGCTTTCTTCCTCATTGGTAGATGTCTGCCTTTTGATTTTTTTTTTAAAATTTTTGCTTGTACAAAAGGTTTTTATTGGTGAGGGAGAGATGCTGCAGAGCAGCACCAAGGAGGAGAGAAAAGAGAAGAGAGAAAGAGAGGAGAGAGAGAGAGAGGAGAGAGATTGCCTTCTGATTTTATCCTGACATGACAGGCAGCAGAAAGAAGCAAAAAGCTGTCCTCTGTCTCTTCTTATAAGGGCACTTGTCTCATCATGAAGGCTCCACTCCCATGATCTAACTCCCTCTTTCCAAATGCTCTCACATTGGTGATTCCAGTTTTAATGTATGAATTTTCAGGAGTCATTAACATTCAGTCCAATTCAGAAAAGTTGGACAGCCATGTATAATTGATGTCATCCTTGGCCAGCCTTCTTTAAGAGAGGAAATCACC